ATATACACTACTATGCGTGTACTTGGCGCCTTTTTTACCTTTTTTTTAAAAAAGATAATTTTGTACGGATATCACGCCTTTTTGTAGTGTTACGCATCTTAATCTTAACAGAAAAAAATAACACCTTATAAAGAAATGTGTCTGAAGTTGTTAATATATATAATATATACATTGCCGGACATTGCTTTTATGTAAAATATGCATCTATATTATGTTGCTTGTAAAAATTATTTCTTATCAACTTTTTCCAAAAATAATAAATTGTGAAACATTTTAAGACTAAAACCAAATCGCTATCTGTATTTTAACTGGTACTTTACTCTTGTACGTATGGGGTACTCACGTTCGAGTTGGCCAAAGGCCGTGTTTTTATTTTTCCGCTACGTGCCCTACGAGCGGAAATATTGCGACGCAAAGTTGAAATGTGAAAATATTATATTAAGATATTTGTACTAACGTCGACGTCTCTCAATATATATGATATATATATATATATATATATATATATATATATATATATATCAGAGAAATGTAACTTTCACTTTTTCGACACTGGTCGATAGACTTATCGGTCAGGAAGAAGATTTCTATTTAGGTAAATTAGAAAATAATATTAACAGGTTGCTTATCGCAATTTTTTATTTTTCATTTAGTAAGATAGAAAAAATTTTATAACTATCTAACAAACAGTAATACAGCATTGCTCTACATAGATTTTTGTAGTAAATTTACCGCTCTACAAAAAATATTTCTTATCATTTTTTTATAAATTCAACCGTTCAAAAGATATTCAAAGTTAAAGTTTAATAAATATAAAACTTGTTTTTGCTTCTTATGAATTTTGTATCAAAAATTATGAAATAATCAATACATATTTTTGTAGAAAATTTAACGATGTACAAAAAAGGTCTTATATTTTTTTCATAAATAAAACCATTTAGACGATATTAAGGTTTAAAGTTCAAAGTGTATAAAAATTACTTTTTTTCATATTAAATAAATAAAGCTCAGAATTTTGTTATAATATGAAAAAAAAGAATAATTTTTATACACTGAACTTTAAACTTTAAACCTTAATATCGTCTAAATGATTATATTTATGAAAAAAATATAAGAGACCTTTTTTGTAGATCGTTAAATTTTCTACAAAAATATGTATTGATTTTATAATTTTTGATAGTCAATATTATAAAATTTATCAAACTTTAACTTTGAATATCTTTTGAACGGTTGAATTTATGAAAAAATGATAAGAGATCTTTTTTGTAAAGCGATAAATTTACTACAAAAATCTATGTGAAGCAATGCTGTATTACTGTTTGTTAGATAGTTATAAAATTTTTTCTATCTTACTAAATGAAAAATAAAAAATCGCGATAAGCGACCTGTTAATATTAATTAATATTAAGGGCTCAAACTTTAACAGGTATCTTATTTTATCCTCCTGCAAGTATATATGCTATTCGTGAAATAAAAAAAAGACATAGTTCTTTTAAGAAAAAATATGTAACATCAACAATGTATAATCAACGGACATTATATATATTTCAACTTTTATTTATTGTATTACAATTATTAATAAAATTATATAATTTCCTTCATTCACGGTCGTACTTATTCGTATCCTGCGCCGTGACATGTCATAAGTACGTTCCGAGCTCATGTGTACCAATGGGCCTGCTTAGTCTGCCTAATTCTCTATTAACATTTTTTGTCATATTTTGTAAAGGTTTATCTATGATAATTTCATAAAGGAATCATTCCGCCGCACATGATAAAAATTGGAATACATTATACATAGAGTTTAAAAATGTAAAAATTTTTTGCATAAATACATTGTCATATTTATATTTAACAGACTGTTAAATCTACATATAATTTTCTGCAAAAACTAATGATGTTACAATCACGTCAATATTTGTTTTACTGCCCTAAAAAATAAACAAAGTTTTATATATATTGCATAAATATACATTTTAAACATAAAGAAACGAGTAAGAATTAAAATAACAATTTTAGCCGAATAAATATATTACAACTTCTCTCTACAACTAATTTTGCATGTGAATATCTTAATGGGGACAAAAATATAATTTGAAAATGTTCTTTATCAATTCTTTTACAAACTGCGGAGAGAGTATTACAAGATACATGTGGTGCAACAATAAAAGTGAAGTTTTATGGAAATGCACCTATCGGATTCTACAAATACAAATATCCTAAGAAGCTTTGCGAGCAAGAAAGTTATGGTGCTAAAATATTTTATTTCTTAGCCAAACATATGGATGGAGATATCAACAATAACGTAAAATACCAGCGGTTGGATCATGAAGAATTAGAAAAAGTATTACCTACTGGAGTACAACAGAGTATTTCACAATTTATGTTTACGTAAAGAATAAAATATAAAATATTGAACTCATTCTTTGATCTCTTATTAATATTGTCTATTATTACCGTAATATTAACATTATAACGGACTCCTAATATCCTTTTTAAAGGAAAATATTCCCCTTTACACAAACATTTATGCACAGTCACGATTATTAAATTTCATGTTTGATATTCTTTAAGGGGATGCTGGAGCCGTAGCCGAACTCGATCGGCGTCGGTAAAGAAGACCGGCGAACTATATCTGTCCTTGTATAGACAAAGATATAGACAAGGATAGCACGCTACATTGCACACACACATACGCACGATGCACACCGACATTATACTTTTATATTACGCTTCCAAATCTTGATTTGGGGGGCTTATCGATGTTTTTCTTGTTGTGCAATTCGGGGAAACTTGTTTTCGCGTTCGTACCAATGGTATATCTCTTATATGAAATACATCTTGTGACGAGCTGACAGCTCGCCGCAACTCGAGACGCCATATTGGGATAAGAGTAGGATAAGGAAATCTGTACTTCCGTAATTTTTTCTCGTTTTCTATATAAAATCGGAGTTTCCCCGAATCATTAATGTATGTACTGCAATTCTGGAGAAGGATTTTTAATTCTGTCAAATTAATACGACGCTACGTGCCGACAAAAAATGCCGGTAAAACAGACGGCTCCAGCATCCCCTTAACAAAAAAATTTTTTAGGCACATATTTTTTGTTACTAAAGAAAATATTTTATGCATATATTATTTTTAAGTAGTAGATTGATTATATAGAAACAGACAAAAATTAATTAGATCAATTTTATCAATTTTTTAATTTATAATTAACATTATAAATTATAAAAAAAATTATTAAAATAGTGTTTTTTATATTAACAAAGTATATCTTACAATTAGAATCTCCCGGGTCTCTTTCGTCCAGTATATTTGGAGTCATCTCTAACTTCTTTTCCTTGCCGACGCCGCCTTTCTTTCTTCTCTAAAATCCAGTCCTTATTTTTCTTCAATGATTTACCCTTGGCTTTCTTTATGTATTCCCTATGTACAAAAAAATTATCACAATTTTTGGAAGGTAAAATAGAGAAATAATAGATATAACAGACAACGAGAGGATCAAACCTTCTTGAATTAGCGACGGTTTGTCTATCTTCGTTCTCTACGCCTAGTGCCTTTGGAAGCGGAGCAGCTTCTCCGGTCATTAAAACCAAGACCATTTTCTTTGCTTTTGCGCTATTCGGAAAATCGACAACTACACCGCCATAAAAGCCAGCTTTTGTGGCTTGTGCCGTGATTAATTCAACCTGTTCACCGTTCTCTGGATAGAATTGTAACACTGCTCTTGAGCTTCTTGACAGGCATGCATACAACGTTGAGAAGAAACGATATAAACGTTTTGTAGGATTGTGCAAAGTTTTGCTTGCATAGCACAACCACTGAAGCGCAGAAATACTGACAGCCCTATCAAACGTACCAGCTTTAAATGGCAATCCTTGACCTATATCTCCCAAAATTAAGTCACCATCTAATCCTCTTTCATCACAGCTACGTCTAAAAATAATGTAATGTGTTAATATGATTATATATCATTACAGACAGCGTTACTAGCAACGTGCACAACTTCATTTGAAGTTATAATTGGGTACAACATTCATCGCACGATACTGTTATACGTGCAAATCGGAAACGTACCTCGAGTCCAGCTCTTCTGCGATCAACGAAGTCGGGATCGAACGTGTCAGTCGTCACTTTCTGCCAAGCGTAGAGAACCTTCTGTTCCGGCAGCGGTGCAATGGTAACACAATGTAGGGATACGAAATCTCCAGATAAGAGCACGAAGCAATTCAAATTCAGTATATCGCCGGCACAATTATACGACCTAGTAAACACAGTAATATAGTAGCAATGCAACGGCAATGTAACCGAATATAA